AATTTAACAATTAAATGTTTATGAATATATGTACGTATGTGATTAAATAAGGAAAAAAAGAGTAAAAACTTCATAAATTTGACATGTTTCGCTACTTTATTGTAGCTTCATCAGAAATGTTCTGGGAATGAGAAAATAACGCGGGGAATTGTTGGCATTTCGAATTCTATGTTGTTGGTTTTTTGCCCATTCTCATTGCACACCCAAAATTCCGAATACACAAGAATTATCCCAACAGTTAAAAAAATCCTTATAACAATAATAATTCATTTTAAAATTAATATAACATAAATCTAATCCACAGCTGATCCATACACAAAATCTATCGGGAGACGTCGTCCGACCAACTCGAAATTTGATAGAGGCACACATACATATATACCCCACTACCATCTTCAGAAATTAAATCCATACGATCACCGAAGGTAAGCAATGTCATCTGGTTAGTACCTAGGTGGGTGACCGCTTGGGAATACCAGTCGCTTTAAGCTTGGATGTAGTGTAATGGTTAATATTTCGGATTTGTTTATCGAGTTGGGTTCGTTATATTCACTTACGCGTAAATAACATTGGGAAAGTTATGAATCAACTTCATCTCCCCCAGCTATGGATTAATTAGTAAGACTTTTATCACTAACTATTTATTATCACAAAAAATTCTTACAATCTAAAAATATTATCAGACTCTACAAACGGTTGATGATTCGTAGAAAGCGGATCAGTCAATCATGAATTAGACACACACGCGCACACTACGAGACATACATTAACAAATCTCCCAGAAGAATGTACACATACACACACTAACGCCACAAAATATAAACACGTGATACTCACCCAACCAAACCAATCAAAAGAAACAGCATAGAATTCAAAATACCAAACATTCTTGTGGTCTTCCTTGTTCCCGAAAAAGTCCGAGGAAACTACAATCAAATTAACGAAACATGTTAAATTTATAAAGATTTCCTTTGTTTGTTCTTGATTTAATTATTCTATAGGATTTAATACAAATTTTTTAAAAATTCTTATATGGACGTAGCAGTGTTTAAAATAAGTTTAGTTTAATATCACATAAAGCCACAAGTGGGAAGTCTTCCTGGATATGACGATAAACTACATCTGGCAGCAAGGCCTCTGAGTGGGAAGTTTTGAGGAGCGTGGAACTAGCTCTTAATTGCTGTTGTTCCCAGGTTCATTCTGACCCAGGGTGGTAGCACCTGTTAGGGACCAAGCTCTGGGCAAATAGTGAACTCCCCCAGAGGGGTCAAAACGTTATTAGAGTATAAAAATACATTCCTGTAGTAAAAATACCAGCAGTACATTTTCATAGTAAAATAATTAACAGCAATACATTATTAGAAAAGGAAGAACCAATTTACCAGCAATACGTTTTTGAAAAAAAAAAAAAACTTACCAAAGCTCCCAAGAAAATTGAATTTTGGAATTAAATGACACTTAAAGAATTGACATGCCAAGCCAAACTAATATGCAGCGCCAATTGAAGATCAAAGTTCCAGAATTATTGGTCTACATGACAAACGTACAAAACATTAACCAACGGAAAGGTTTTCTGTCTGAATCTTTCAGTCAATGCAGATATTTAGATGAATAATTGATTAGAGCAGACATTGGGATCACGTTGTATTAGGCAACTTTGATCACTCCTCAACAACTTAAGCAATGTTACGGCTTATTTCTTCCCGCCACTAAATCAGGAAGCGTCAAATGTCTTACAAGGAAGACCATTCCTAATATTGTTCTATTAATGCACAGAATTTGCATCAAAATAATCAGTCGGGACTCTGGCGTCGTAAGATTTGGGAAAATCATCCTGTTAACTTTGGCTTTCGTTTGACAAACACACCCAGACGATTGTTTGGTGTGGCTTCAGTTGCGAAATATAGTCGGTATACATAAAGCGAGAGTCAGTCTTGCTATTTCAAAATTAGCAACGAACAAATAAATCTTCGGCGATCAAACAGCTTTTTGGAAAAGAAACTTTTTGAACTGAATTAATGCATATATTTTTAGAAATGTTTCCAGCTTTTGTCTTTGAATTAAAATTCGTTAATAACAACGAGTAAACGTTTTTATAAATTACGTCAAACGTTTTGAAATATTTTCCATTTTCATAAAACGACGATTTTTTAGGCATCGAAGGCACTTTTAGATTTTTGACCAGATCCAAATAATAAACCGCTGTTTCCCGTTTCCAAAATGGTGAGCATTAAAAATTTCCAGATTTTCCTCTCTTGTAATTAGTTATTTGAGATCTTTTCTCTTAATTCACCCCAAATAATGGAAAGATACTTATCACATATATTAATTCACCCCAAGAAATATTATAAATTTTAAATCAAAGTTTTTTTGAGATGAGGTGTTATGTACACTATTTAAATTATTGGGACTAGTGTCCTCATCATTGTTGCCATATTTATCACAATGTTTCGGCCGTTCTACGCTCCGGCCTTCTTCAGGTGGTTTGAATGTCGAACTGAACCCTTTATTTCGCTCGCTGGGATAGACTGTTCTAGTTCCACGTGCCATGTCTAATGGATGTGAGTTATCAGTTATCTCCTCACACTCTTTGAGTCCTGTTACTAGATCTAACTAACGCCTTTATCCACTGTGCCATGTGTCCTTGAGGACATCTGTGTATGAATTTCTGGGTATTAGAAAACTAATGTCTTCAGCAATCATTTTTAACAGTGCTCATATTGCAATTTTTGCTGTTATCATGCATGTTTCTTTTTTACCAGAGCTCATAATGCAATTTTAGTTGTTATTATCGCTTTTCTCTGGCACTCCTTATTACTGGTTCTCATATGTATTCATTCCTATGCTTGGTCGGCTCAGGAGATTTTTATGGCCGAGCATATGTGCTGATTCCTTAAGTTTACGGATTTTTCAATGATGTTCTTTGACTATGATTTCAACTTGATCCCACAGAGGGCGGTGATCTCCCCTTTCTTTCCATATGTGGTCAGCCACGCCTGATTTTTCCATTTCCCCTTGTGTTACAGCTTTTTGGTGTTCGTGAATCCTTATCTTAAGGGGGCGGCCTGTCTCCCCTTTATATTTCTTTCCGCAGCTGCACGGGATGGTGTATATACAGTCTTTAGTCATGTTATCCTATATGGGGGGGGTCTTACTCGGGAGAGATATCTGCGAAGTGTCGTCCAGCTTTTGAAGATTGTTCTGATGTTATATGGACCGCAGATCCTTTGTATTTTCTCTAATAACCCATTTACAAAATGTAGGCAGACTGTTTTCTGAGTGTTGTTGTCCTCCTCTTGTTGTACCCGCCTATCCCAGTTTATTGGGGCCGCTGCCATGTACCCAGGGGAGTTACAGGAATTAACAGGAGATAACTGGCATCCCTTAAACATGGCACGTGGAACTAGAACAGTCTACCCCAGCGAGCGAAATAAAGGGTTCAGTTCGACATTCCAACCACCTGAAGAAGGCCGGAGTGTACAGCAGCCGAAACGTTGTGATAAATATGGCGTAATAGTCCGAATAATGTAAATAGTCTACATAACACCTCATCTCAGAAATATAGACAAATACTGAAGGATTGGTACTGACATCGAAAATATTGAGACAAATTGAGAAATCCTACCAGAAACTGCCACGAATATCGAACCATTTGACGTTCCTACACCGATGCTGAGATCTACGGCTCATCCCTTCAGGCTTGGGACCAAGACTTCCTGTCAATATGAAAAATATGGCAAAAAAGATGAGGGCATTAGTCCGAATAATGTAAATAGTGCAAAGTTTTCTTTTTTTTGAAATTATAGATTTTAAATCAAAATTTGTTTAACTTGCCCCGAAACATCTTGAACCCTTAAAATGAAAATTACCAAAAATCAGGGAGTTATTCACATTTCGTAAGTGCGGATGATATCCAAGGTACTTACAAGGAATTTTTTACAATTAAAAAAAAATGAAACAATCTGTTTTTGGCTTGTTTATCGGGGGATGACACTTATAAATAGCGCACCTGTGTCGCCTAAATTTGGGGCACCTGCAGAGACCAACCGAACCGAAGGGTAATGGAAGGGCCTCGCTCTGAGAGAATTTTAGTAAATATAATATATTTCTGTGTGAATTTTAGTAAATATAATATATTTCTTTATTATTTTGGGGTGAATTAATATTGTGGAGTGAATTAATAGAAAACATTTATTTTTCTTTAAATGCAGATCCCAACGTTGACACACATAATTCTCTTCAGTCACTGTTCCAGTAATTCGTAGTAAAATATGTTTTGTATTCTACCAAATACAGAATAATAGCTTTCCACCCGTAATAATAAATGTTGATGCAGTCCTCTCTCCCTGTTCAAGGCATATTTTTCGGCAATTCGTTGATATTTTTGTCACTACAGGATGACAAGAAAACTTGACTTGATCTAGTGAGATACGCTTGCTAATCATTACACTACGTCGAAGTGCCTCGTGGTGATTTTTTAAGCTTAGCTTAGATGTGGCACAAGGCCGAGAGTCTGGAATATCGAATGAGGATATAACTAACTATTCAGTCGTAATTGAACTAACGAGACAAAGTTACTAACCATTGCACGACGTCAAAGTGACTCGCCTCCTTAAAAATATGTAGGGTCAAGCAAATAATGTTACCTTAGACAAAAATGAATGATTTTTATTACTTTATCATATTAATAAGAAATACTCACCTACATGTTATATTATAATTCTGTTAGTTCTCCGTTAGTTAGTAAGATAGCGTGTGCTTAATTCCCTGATCTTACCTACGATAAATAATGGACCATTCTGTTTTGTTTATGAGGAAGGACGGAAAAAAAGATTTACCAGAAATGCCACTCCTTGTTATTTTCAATCACCTTTTTAAACATAGTTGAATTTTTTCTTTGTTTACAAGCAAAAGGATCATAAATGTTGCAGTAAAAATGCAGTTTTCATTTTATTAAGTTATTTGCTCAAAGTACTTTTTTTTCGAAGACAATTTTGCTAATGTTTTGGGTTCTATCCCCAGTGACACTCCTCTTTACTCTCGGCCTGTTACAGAAAAATAAGGTGAGTAAATACTCATAAATGTCGCTAAGATTTGTTTAATACTTACCAAGATTCAACGGCGTTTCATTCTTGGCTGATTTTGTTTAGCGGCATATCAAAACCTCTATGGGTTATTTAATATCGAAATCTACATATGTTGAACACAATTTTATGATTTCAAATATAGATAAAATTTATTGTTGGTCATTTTGTTTTAAATAAATATATTTTGTTAATTTTGCTATCAATGTAGATTGTTGGTTGGTTGATTTTGTTTAGCGTCATATCAACCTCTATAGGTTATTTAATGCCAAAATCTAAATATTTTGTACGTTATTTTAAGCTTTCAACTCAAAATATTTTGTACATAATTTGATACTTTCGGTGTAACTATATATGTTTTAGATATATAGTGTGTAGATCATAAAATGTATTGTTGGTAATTTTACTATAAAAATGTATTTTTATATTTTTTCAATGTTGCATTGATTGCCATTTTGCTATTAAAACGGATTGGTGATGATTTTATTATAGAAATGTATTGTTGATTTTTTTTTTGGCGTGTGTCACTATTTGTCCATTGCTGGGATCTTAACAGGTGCTATCACCCCGGGTCAGCAATTAAGAGGTGGTTTCACGCTCTTCAAAACCTCCAACCTCCCGATTAGAGGCCTTGCTGCCGGATGTAGTTTATCGTCATACCCAGGACGAGCGTCTCGTTGTGAACTGGTTAAGTTTAGTAAACAGCAACGATACAGATTTCAAATGCTTAAGAGCAATATACTTTAATTATTTTGAACTATTTTTCTCATCTTGATCATTATAGAAGTTATTATAGATCCAACGTTTCAACCAAGTATACTTTGGCCATCATCAGGTGTAGATTGTTTGGCTGATAAAGGATATCTGTTGATTATTGTGCTATTTGCTATTGTTAAAGAAAGGAGTACGGACCATTGATCTAGTATCAGTCCTCCTCTATGGCAGTGAATGTTGGACAATCACCTTACAGATGAAGAAGTGACATGAAACAACGCCGAAGTTCTAGAAACAATGGCAACAAAAAAGGATACTTATACTTAACATCAGGAAGAGACGGTTAAAATTTCAAGGACACATAATGAGGAAAAGATACTTGGAAAATTTGATAAACACAAAATAGATTGAAGGTGACAGGTCAAGTGGAAAGCAACGTATAACCTACCTGCTGAGCTTGAGCGAATGAATGGCGAGGAAGGGTTTGGCAAAAAGATAAAAGTTATTAGGAGCTACAAAGGACATGAAATTGAGCCATGATCGCCAAACTTCTAAACAGACACGGTACATAGAAGAATAAGCATTACAAATTCTAAACAAAACTTTATTAGCTCAGGAAGAAACATACAATTTGGTTTTTCTCGAACATGGATACCGATCGAAACAGATCTTTAGTTCCAACTAATTCTGGGATTTAACTAACTTCTATATTCATTACGCTACAGTGTTCACAGTTTGGATGATTGAGAGCTCGCCAAGTGCTTCTCCATTTGTATGAGCGAGCCTAATTCTTAATGAAACCCTACTCAAAATAATTTAGACAATTATGGTGTCTGATCGTATAGAAGACTCTGCTAATTACATTATTACAATATAATACAATTCAGCTGGACTCGGGTACTGGTGTATACGGCTTACGAGTATATATTAGTTGATCACATACATCAATACCTATATAAAACCTGGGAGATATTATTTTAGCCTTTTTAAAGTGGGTCTTATATACCATCAACGTTTTTTTACAGTAATGTTCCCGTTGCACAAGGCCTTTGAGCCTCTCGAGGTAGAGGGTTACAGGCTAGGAGACACTGTTTATGGGGATATGTGAGAAAAATAACGGTTAACCCTAGACGTATATTTCAGTGATCGGGAAAGCACCATCTTGGGAGTTGGTTCCACAAAGCAACGGTTCGTGGGAAGAAGCTGTTTGAGTGGAACTTACATCTCACCAATGGCATACGAAGGAAATGAGGTTGGCTCGCTACAATGTGCATGCTTTGCAATGTAACATTTTAGGTATACTAGAGTTATCTTTCTTGCATTAGCAACGCCAGATAGCAGTGTCATTGTCATCACAATGCTGGACTGTTCCTGGAAATTTACGAAGCCGGGAAGTAGAATTTTTTCTCCAATGAAGTTCACCCTGTACAAGAGCTACTAAAGGTTACAGAGTAAGGGACACAGTTCATGCGTATATGTCGGGGAGATATCGGTTAACCCTAGACTTGAATATGTTATTATTACATTGATCGAGGTAGCATCCACTTGGGAGTTGGTTCCACAAAGTTTCTTGGGAATAGTCTGCTCAAGTGGAACTTCTAGCGCACCAATAGAATACGAAGATAATGAGAATGTGGGGCATGGTCGGTCTTAGCCGGGAATGTTAGAACCGGTGGAACTGAGGAATTTATTTCATCTGAACACTTTCTATGGAAATAGCGATAGAGTAATGATGGTCTTGTGAAGTTTCGTCTGGGGAAAGAGGTTGTAGAGTTGAAGATAATTGCAAGTATGGGGAAAAGCTTTTGGACTTTATCAAGACTGAACAGTGAAGACTTGGGAACTTCGGTCTGATCTGGCTCTTGTAAAGGTAGGGGATAAGAGGAGGTGTCAGGTACTGGTGCGCTTCAGGGAACCAACCATTTTTCCTGCATCATTTAGCGGAAGATTGTATATACGAGTTCCACTTGAGGTTTGGGGTAAATTTAAGGCCCAATATGTGCGCAAGGGATGGCATTTGCATGAGAAAACATCCGTTCATTGCGATAGGCGAAAGTTCAGGGTCCGCTCGGTGAAGAAACTTCATTCTTCTTCGTTGTCATCATATTCTTCTTCTTCTTCTTCTTCTTTGTCATCATTTTTCTTCTTCTTCTTCTTCGTCATCATCATTTTCTCCTTCTTCGTCGTCATCATTTTTTCTTCTTTGTCATCATCATTTTCTTTTTCTTCTTCATCATCATTCTCTTCTATTTCTTCTTCTTTGTCGTCGTCATCATTTTCTTCATCGACGTCGTCATCATTTTTTTCTTCTTCTTCGTCATCATCATTTTTTCTTTTTCGTCATGATTTTCTTCTTATTCTTTTCTTCTTCATCATCATTTTCTTCTACTTCTTCTTTGTCGTCGTCATCATTTTCTTCGTCGTCTCATCATTTTTTTTCTTCTTCTTCTTCTTCTTCGTCATCATCATTTTTTCTTCTTTCGTCATCATTTTCTTATTCTTTTCTCCTTCATCATTTTCTTCTTCTTTTTCTTCTTCATCGTCATCATTTTCATCTCCTTCTTTTTCTTCTTCTTCTTCGTCATCATCATTTTCTCCTTCTTCGTCGTCATCATTTTTTCTTCTTTTTTTCTTCTTCATCATCATTTTCTTCTACTTCTTCTTCTTTGTCGTCGTCATCATTTTCTTCGTCGTCATCATTTTTTTCTTCTTCTTCGTCATCATCATTTTTTCTTCTTTCGTCATCATTTTCTTATTCTTTTCTTCTTCCTCATTTTCTTCTTCTTCTTTTTCTTCTTCTTCTTTTTCTTCTTCTTCTTCATCGTCATCATTTTCTTCTTCTTCGTTATCATTATTTCTTCATCTTCTTCTTCTTCTTCTTCTTCTACTTCTTCTTCTTTAATATACCATTTCCTTTCTGGACGAGGTCGATTATAGCTCTCAAAACTTCCTAACCTTTATGGCGCTAAGCATCAGTTTTCTATCATTCTTTGTCTCCGCTCTACAATCTGTTCACTCGTACTCGCCAGATAAGCTACTCGCCGTTTCCATTAGCCTCCATCCCTTCAGTATATAATATAACTGTTAAATTCTCCAAGCCATCTTTCCTTATTATGTGTCCCAATCTTTCTGATTCTCTATACAAGTGTTCTTATTGTTTCTATGTTCTTTAAAACTTCCCTGCTGTGCACATGTTCCGTCCGTGGCATTCTCAGAATCCACATGTAAAACAACGACGCCTTACGTCTTTTCTTGATCTTGATCTAAGGAAGTTTCTGTTTGAATTTCTTGGATGAAAATTTTTCAATACTTACACCATGTACATGTGAACTATTATCCTCATCTTTGTTATTGTTATCACAACATTTTGGTACACGGGACAATAGCCTCGTGGATTAAAGCGTTAGTTCCTGAATTTGGTGACATAGCATTTGTAAGTTCAATCCCTGGGCCGGGCAGTGTGTACTAGGGCGTAAAGAGATATTCCAGTAGAATTATGGAAGCAACATCTTCTATAAAAAGATTATCTACTTGGTTATTAAAATAACTGACGTTTTAATTATTACCGCATTTATCATTAATTGGCTGAGCAGTGTCGACTTGGATTCAGTGGAAACAGGGCGAGCAATAACTGAGCAGTATTAAAAAATAAGAACTAGACAAGATACCCCGAGACACGGCCAATGAAACCAGAACAGTGTACATCCGTAGATTAAATAAAAAGTTCTGTTCAGAATTCCCTCTAGATTACTCAGATCGATGTTGTTATAACCTAGAAAGGGTTACTGAATGAGGATTAACCAAAACGGAGGTTGATAATCTTCATAACATCAAAAAAATACAATACCCGCCATCTACGTGAATATATATATATATATATATATATATATATATATATGTTGCAACTTAGAAAGGGTTACTGAATGAGGACTAACCAAAACGGAGGTTGGCAATGAAATGGTAATCTTTATAACATCGACAAAATACAATACTCGCCAGCGGCGTGAAGTAGGTAAACCACTGCTAGTGGTGAACTACTTAGCATATTAACAAAAATTACAAGTGTCTAATGTATTTATGAGGATTGGGACATACCCTTTAGTGTTCATAGTTACGGTATATAACAGATATACGCATGAAGAAAGTAGAAGGGCAGAATGTTCGAAATGATTTGATAACAGTAACCCAGATGAGGGTAATAGTCCCATGCGTATTGTAAATATGAGGAAGTTTCTTCAGAATTCAGTGCTGTAAATAGGAGGATT